TTAAAGATTACAGGAACCTGGTTTGCTGTGGCTAAGAAGTGCCTGTCAAACAGCAGTGGCAACAGATAAGACGCAAGTGGACTGCAGTACGGAGGTAGTAATACCCTGTTCATGAACAGAGACCACTGGGAATGCTCCATTTATCCGGGCATTACTTCACTGAGACTCTCCCGAGATGTTAGAAAAGAGATGCTGCGGAATAACTGACTCCAAGATAGAAGAAGAGCAGCTTGGCTTCTGGCCCGGTCGAAGCACCTCTGACCATATATTTGCCCTGCGCCAAATTGTCCGGAAATCGCGGGAGTACGCCCAGCCGGTGTACATGTGTTTTGTGGACCTAGAGAAAGCGCATGACCGGATCCCAGGCAACAGTCTGTGTACATGCCTTCATGCATACGTGATTGATGGCCAGTTGCTAAGGGCCATCCAATCACTGTATTTTGATAGCAGGTGCTGTGTCAGAGTTAATGGCGTTAAGTCGAAACCATTCAACGTTCGCACTGGTCTCCGCGCTTCTGTCCTCTATCCTGATTGTGTTGTACCTGGGTAGAACAGTCAGGCGAAGCCAAGGAGACGAGTATTGGTATAAGAAATGTCGAGACAAGAAGTTTGTTGTTGCAGACGACCATGTTTTGGTGAACATATTCTGAAACTGTTCTCCAATGGTCACTGGAAAGGTTCGCAGCCAACTGTGGCATGGCTGGCGTGCGTGTCAACGTGTCCGAAACTAAGAGCCTAACACTTTCTCGGTTTACTGCCCGTTACGCCCTGCAACAAAACAGAGAATGAGTGGAGCAGGTGGAGAAGTTCACATACCTCGGAGTCGTATTTGCTGATAATGGAAAATGAAAGAAAGAGATCTATCGGCGTCATCGTGAAAGAAAGAGGTCTATCGCCTGAATCGTTGTGACATCTAAGCTATCTGTGCTAAGTCCTTCGTCATCCCAATACTTATCTAGCGTTATGAGCGGTGGGCTATCGGACTAAAAACTTCGATTCCTTGCAAGAGCAGCTGAAGTGGGATTTCTGAGACGAATCGTTGAGCCCAACCCTTTCGAAATGGTTCGGAGTGCAGATGTCAGAGAGCTTCCATGCATACTAGCTACTTTTTCAGATTGACAACTAACAACTGCGACAGTTTGTGCGCGTGTTGCGAATGATTACAGAAAAGAAGGCGAAACAGCTACTAATTACCTAACCAAAAGGTCTCGGGAACGGCCCAGAATGATCTTCGGAAAGTGCCTCAAACGGAGCTATCTTCTGTCATAGCTCAAATGCTGGTATTACATCAGAAGCCTTGAAAGCAGGGTCTGACGCATCTGCCTCCGCAACTCACAGATATCATTTCAACGATACCGTTTGATAGATTAACATATTTTCAGTAACCGAATGAAATTAATAGAAAATTATTTCGAAATCTTCAACTGTAAGATAACTGGCTGACTGTTTTTTCTTGATGCTTGGCCAGGAAACCGAAACGTAAAGCAAAGATGGTAATGTTGCTAATAACAGTACTGGGTTCGTTACCAACGCCAGTTATATAGTCGGAACTGAATGAATGAGAGTTATGGAACAACACTAATATAATGCTGAGTGATAACTGTGCGAGACTCAGGTCTTTACGAATTCAGATTATTGAATGCACCAATCTTTGACTTATATCAAAGGATAATGGGAACTCATTGCATATTTGGGTTTTCATGCCAATTTATGGAGCGAATCTTACATATAAGATTATGAATATCATAAATGCAGAATTATGTTATCTTATCCTTATTATCGGTAACTATCCCAATCAATTACCGAAACACTCACTTCGTTGACGTCAAGTGATTTATCAATGGTATCGAATGCAATGTTCACGTATTTTGCATTACATTACTGGATTGCGGACATATGGTATTCCACTCTGACATTAATCTGAGATCGTCTGTAGATATCACCTAAGTAAATTCTGTTTCACTGCATCTTATTTTATCTGAACTGCATTTCAATTTTTGTTCCACGTTTGAGGTCAACAGTCATGCACAAAGAAAATAGTTCCCTGATGAATGATGGGCCCAGAATCAAAAACCCTTTCATAAATCCCGTTAAAAATTAAGTAGTTGACAGAAACTTTCACCATTTGGCAACTTACAACCTTTAACCCGGATTGCGTCAATTTTTGCGACCTCAAAGATTATAAACCAGTGAAATTCTTAGGATAAAGACAAAGGTGCCATAAGCAGGTCGGTTTCACAATAAAAGCCTCTTAGATGATCTAAAAGGGTACGAACATGGAGATGATGCGCTGATTGCAACAGAACCGTATACCGACAAAAGGGGGTGGGTTATTCCGAACCACAGGAGTGTAAAATGACACAGAGAAGAACCTAACCCTACAAAATAGTTATATATTTAATAACTATAAGTCTTGTTTTAAAATCAACTAGAATCGGCTTACCCCAATGTAGCCGGTGATAAGGGCTCCAAATTTATTAC